ACCCACTTTCCTGAACCATTTTCATTGTGAGTTATAATTCACCATCTCAGGTTATCATTAGGGGGAAATGACAGCAGCACAGTGTTCAATATATTGTACTTTCGGTATCTAAATGATACAATGTTGTTTACATTGCTCATGAGGACAGACCACCTTATTTGCAGATTCTTGAAATTGTAATTTAATTTGTAATTGATTGTGGATTTTGTATCTAGTTTTCACTTTATGTATCTTTATACAATGTTTACTACTTTGCTTATGAGGACAGACAGCCTTATTTACAGATTCTTGAAATTCAATTGTAATTTCATTTGTAAATAGTTACATTCATGTGGATTTATCCAGTTTGCACATTTGTATGCATGCACTTATACTGTAGGTGCATTTGTTGTTGTTGAAGGCCTGGCTGTTACAGTCTTTATTTACACTATTTTGTTGTAGGCCTCCTGGCCTAGATGTTTATGCAGTTTTAAAGCACCTTGGCTTTGTTCTGAATGCACTTTGTTGTAGTTATCCTACAGAGAAAAGAAAATGCACTTGACTTGGAATTAATGTACTGTATGCATTCAAAAGTGCTGAATAAATGTTTTATGGACCCATAATAGTGATTATTATTTAAGTTAAGTTTTGCCATAATCATGTCTTTTTCCATAATCAGGCAGCTGAACAACATTGGTAAAAAATGTATACATTATATATATATTTCTATTAATCATTTTCGGCCTTTCGGCATTCGGTTTTCGGCCAACTGTTTCCTATTTTCGGTATCGGTTTCGGCCAAGAATTTCCCATTCGGTGCACCCCTACCCTTTACACCTGTCACCCCCACTCTATCTTCCCCTTTCAAATTTATTTTTCTTATTAAGGCATAACTGGCCACACATTTAAAAAAGAAAAGAAAAGAAAGATGTATACATAAAAAGGTCCATGCAAATATTATAATTTGGCGCAAAGTTGTGATTAATAATTGAATTATCAGTCAAAAAAAATCGCAATTAGATATTTCTCCATATGTTTAGCCCTGTTTACAATACCTTGAAGGTCTTCTTGTTGTGCTGGTGGGTTGTGCGCCGGTTGGGAGCGTTCTGTCGATGGACTCTACGCAAGAAGTCCAACTTGACGGCGTGCTGCGACATCCTGTCCTGGAAATGGTCAAAGAGCTGACAGCGACTGGAGAGACTCAGGTTCCTCTGATTCAGCTTAAATAGAAAAAAATGATGTCATTTTGTTGCACCATCTTGGCTGAGACACAAAAAAAAAACAACGTGGCAAGAAACAGAGTTGGTTATGCTCTGAGCATAGACTGTGCCTCCTTACCGCTAAGTGCTCAACATGGTTTGGACACATCCATTTCCCAGCAGGTAAAGCTGTAAGTGGAGGATCCAGACAGTCCATGTGGAACAGAAGAGGACAGTAGTCACACTGGATCAGTGGAGCTATCCTACAACTCCTGTGAAAGGAAATACAAGAACATAAGACACTGATATTAAATATTTCATGTCTGTGTGAAGTATCTTTGTAGGAAACTGAAATGTGGTACAAACCTGTTGCATGAAAAGCAGACTTTCACTGGTAAAGGGACCAGACCATTGGGATCCAGTTCATGCTGCGGCCTCCTGAATGGCTTCCCTAGAAGCTCCTCTTTTCTTCTCCGTTTACTGCTGCCTAAAAATCCAAATCAAGTAGGATCATTAAAGAAACAACCCAGATATGTATATATTAGGGATGTTAAAATTCACCGATTCGCATCGGTGCACCGGCATAAACGTTCAAGATGCGAGTGCACCGGTTGAAAGAGTGCACATCGGCTACAGTTTGGGTTGAACTCGCGATGCTTCGATTGTAGCGTCTTTGCATCAGTAAAAAAACGATTAATTCATATAAAATCCCCTCATCCTGTCAACGCTCAGCAGAGACGATCTTTGATCTTTGCTTCGCCACTACGGAGAACGAGAGTCTCAGTTATCAACACACATGGAAGTCGAGGAGAAAGAGAAACACAGCGCACCGAAAAATACCTACAAATCAAATGTTTGGCAACACTTCGGATTTTTCAAGAAAGACGTTCAACTTCAAAAATCGCTTGCAAATTGCAAACGATGCTGTGCCGCTTTAAAGTACACAAGTAGTACGAGGAACTTAGCGACGCACATAAAGAGGCAACATGGGGTCTGCGGCTGAAAAGAGAAACCTGAAAGTTGGACATATGAGTGAAATCACTCAGTGAGGTGTTATGTCAGCGAGTGTGGTGTTTAGTTTACAGCAGCCTGTGACTGCCAATAATAGTTGAAATATCTTCCTTACTGTAAGCAGTTATGATAGAGCTGTTTGTGAAAGGTTATTTGTATTTTTTATTGTTCATATAGGAACCACTGCTTTCTGCTCACTGGTGAGTTAGCCAATGAATGAGTGTTAAGCACATCAGGCTGGCAGCTGTATGGGCATTGCACTATGGTAGCTGTTATTTCCACATTGTTAATCATGAGCAATGCATCCTTACATTGTTTAACTGTGAGGTGTTATACAATTGTACTCTGGAGTTTTTTAAGGTAAAAAAGAAACAGCATGATGGGATGTGCAGTACAAAATATGTAAAGCACTTTTTTGTTTATTTATAATTTGCTGCATAATAAGGAATAAATCAAAAATCCTCTGTCGTACCATATTGAAGTATCATTATTTTGCATTGTGTTGATTCACATCGTATCGCCCAGAATCGCATAATGTTGAATCAAATCGAACTGTATCGCAACAGGGGTGAATCGTATCTTATGCATCGCCTGGTGTTTCAAATGTATCGTTAATGTATCGTATCGTGGCAACTTATCGAGAATGCACATCGCATCGGCCTCAGTAATGGAGATGCACATCCCTAATAGATGGTGATGTGTTTCACACTTTACAATAGAGTGGCGAAGTCACGCCCACTTACTTCCGCATCATGGGACCTTATTCCGAAAAAATAATACATTGAAGTCAATGGAGAGAGAAAACTTATCTTTTGATCCCGTTTGAATTGTGCCATGAATATATGTTGTGAAAATATGTTGTTTGTCAATCTTAAAAAAATCATTTCCATGTCAAAAAATTCAAAG